GGGGGGGGGGGGAGGGCGGACGTGACACACCCGGACCGCCATTGATACAATGTGACTGTCTGTAATTTGTATGAGTCGTGTCTTTATCATTACATCTGTCGCTTTATCATTACATCTGTCGCTTGCTTCATCACATCGTCCTGTCCATGCAATCGCTGCCTTGTGTAGCGTGGTATGTGTTCGGTGAGAGAGGGAGGAGTACGCGCGTGCCGCGATGACGTCTAGCGACTGACTGACTGACTGAGTGACTGATTGGTGATGTGTATGTGTGCGTCGTCAATGTGTGTTGTCGTCGACTGACGGCCGCATTGGCTCACTTCACTTCAGAGAGAGGCCGATAGCGGGCAGCCCCGAGAGATATCGATCGGTACGAAACTGTGAGTGGAGTGTGGTTACGTTTTCAATCGGTGTTGCGTGCTGTGTGCCGAAGAGTCAGGCCATCTTTCGATTCAGAAAGGCAGTGAAAAACAAGGAAGTACAAAACAAAGTCAGATGAGAAAGAAATATAGAAAAGGAAGGGATGAAAGGTAGGAAGAAAAGAAGAGAAAAGATCAAGTAAAAAGAATGCGTGCTTGGCTGTGACCAGCACCCGATGTTCATCAACGACTCCCTGCCCAGGGATTTCTTCCTCTTATGCATTTGTGCTCTTGCTGTGGTTGGCTGTTCGTGTATCTGTTGTGGGTGCGTGCGGGTGTGCGTACGTGTGTGTGTGTGCGCATCGGACTGCATGGACACGGTAGCTCACGTAAGAGCACGCTTCATACAAACTGACGTCAGTTGCGTTCCTCTCCGTCTATTCAAGTGGCGCGAACAGCTTGCCCGGATATTGTGGTGACAATTTGAAAATGACATCACTCTCGACGAGTCACATTCATTTAGTCATGGACGCATGTCATAATACGCTCAACACACCCTGACACACACGTGGATGTACCAGATGGGGAGAGATGTGATAAGTGTGTGTGCGTGCGTCCAGCCCCCATCTGCTGCACTTCCCCAAAGTACCACAGATGTGACGCATGGATGGCAACATGATACGGACTGTACAACAGTGTACAACAGCATGAGAAATGACAGCAGACAGCGCAGACACAAAGAAGAGAAGAGAAGAGAAGATGCAGCCAATCAACCATACAACCGTAAAATCACAGTAATGCTGCGCCAATACAAACGACCTCAGCCCCAATCCGCACAACCAATAGCCCGATAGACACAACAGCGAGCCATGGCATCAATCAATAAAAGCCACATTAAGACCAGTATGTGTGATACGGCATACATACATATATACATGCATCCATATCGGCTGGATGAACGCAACACACACACACACCATCAAAGCATGTCATGTCGACATTTCTCACACCACAGTCAGCCTCCAGACTCGCCTCCGTTAGCCATGATGTCTCCGAAGCACAGCAGACACATTCGGCAAACAAGTGACATCATATACTCGAATTACACCTACCCCGCCTTCGTTTCCCCCACCACGGCAAGCACGTCAACTTCATCAGCCATGAAGTACTTGCTACCCTCGAACACAGCACAGCCACGCTCATCCCTCACTCCTTCATAGCCCACAGGCACATGACCGCTCGGGATGCAATGACGGCAGCTGCGCATATCAGCAGCAGGGCCATAGCCGAAACCCAGCCAGCACGGCAGTCTCACACATCCATGCACATTTGAGCGTACAGCAGAGAAGAGAGAAGACAATGCGACAGCAACGAAGAGGGGCTCGACACAGGACAGATGGTGAATTCACAAGTTTGCCACAAGTTTCACACACTTTCTTCCGAGGCAACATACAGAAAGTCACGGGAGGGCAGATGTCATAGCTTCCTGCTCACAGCAGCATAAACACGGAACACTACGCCAAACACCAACGACACACCGCCCCCTGCAAAAATACGGGCAGAACACCCAGTAGCAAAGTAAATGGCACAGACAGCTACTGCATTCCACAAGAAAATGCAAGAGAAGGCATCGACGTAGTGAGCGTCAAGCCACCGATGCACCGGATCAAAAAAGCAGAAAAATGACATACAGCTCGCCATATCATCAGATGCCATCACTCTGAAGCAGAGTAAGGTCATGAACCCGCAGACGAGCGCTACCATCGGCCACAATACAAGCAATGTCAGTATTCCAGGCATTTCGTGTGGCTCCCACAGCCCCTCCCTAAACATCTTGACTGTCGGTATAATGCAATCAGTTAGCACCACCGCGCCTGCTATCAGCATCAGCAAGCAAAACCCCAGACGGCCCGAAAGGTGCGTCACATGTGACGAGGCTGATAACACGCCGTCCACGTGAATCACCTCCACTTCATCAGCCATTAGCACCTTACTGCCACCGAACAGAGCATTACCGCGGTCATCCCTCGGCCCCACATAGCCCTCGGGCGCATAAAAGCTGGAAATGCACTGCGAGTGTTGGCTGCGGATGAACTGCTGGCAGCTCCGCAGATCGTCCGTAGGGCCACTCCGATAGCAGCCATATCCCAACCACAGACCCCCACACCCACCGATTCTGAGCTTTGCTCTCATTCCGAAGCCCGCTCCTTCCCTTCCGGCCACACACACTTGCTGTCTGCACTGCATCATCTTGGCCGGCTTGTCCGAGGGGCTGGGGAGGGAAAAATGCCACACAATCGTCTCGTACTTCTTCTTGCCTGTTGGAGTCTCCGGCAGCTTGATGCCATCCGCCATACAGGCCCCAAAGACATACTCGTCCTTCCTGATGACGAACACCAGGCCCTTGGCGTCGTCGACACATCGCAGCAGATCGGCGTAGCGACAGCCATCACGCGTCGCTCTGCAGTACGTGAAACAGAATGTCACATGAGGAAAGCAACAGATGGCAAACGCACCTGTAGACAAGACTTAGACTGCACTCTGTCGCCGGTCTGAGAAACTGGTGGAGTGCGCCGCATTGGAAGGGACTCAAACTGCAGCCATCGATAGCCTGCAGCCGATAGAGGTACATCAAACACATGAAAGCAACACTGATGCACTCAGTTTTTTGCTGTGGGTGTGTGACCTTAAGCGGTGGGAGTGAGCGTCCATCAACATGAATAACCTCCAGTTCGTCAGCCGTAAGTACTTTCCAGCCAGCGAATAGAAGGAACTGTGGATCGCCCAGCTTCAAGCTGCGCTTTATACAGCAGCGGCGCATATTAGCTGCGTGGCCACGCCCACCATAACCCATAGACAGAGACCGATTCATCAAGCCAATCATCGGCTCAGCTGTCCCCCAAGATCCTGTCCTCTTCTGCCCAGCCACACAAACGTCCTGCAACATTCGGGGGACTGGGATCTTGGTCGGTTCATCGAAGTATAGACCGGCAAGGGAGAAACACCACGAACTGCAGACGTAGTGGTTGACTCCTGCTGGATTCTCAGGCAGCTTGATTCGGTCACTTATTCTGCCGCCGACAACACAGTCACCATCCCTGACGATGAACACCAGGCCCCTCGCATCGCCGACACACCGAAGGAAATCACTGTACAATGGCCCGTCACGCGATGCCCTGGCAGACAAACGCACCCAAATGTCACTATCAATGTGTCCTATCAACGTGTCCCATCGTACGTCGTACCTGTAGAGCAGAGTGAATTCGCACTCGTCGTATTCGGACGGCACGACAAGAGACCGGAGGGCCGCACACTCAGCCGCACTCAGACTGCTGCCTTCGACCAGCTGGACATAGAAGGAGAGGCAAACAAGATCCGATTGCACGTGTCCATGATCGTATGCCGGTACTTGCCTGTATTGGCTCAGTCGCATCGCCATTCACTCCATCTACGGTGCTGCAGGCCGGTTGGACTGTCACGGTATCACCAGCCGCAGTCTGACAGCTGCCGACGATGGCCTGCAGGCAACACAGAACAGGCACACAGACAAAGATACGGCCACCAATTGACACTGCGTTGGCGAGTGGGTGTCGCATACGTGTGGTTGCTTGGCTGATCCTGTTTGTTGCGAGCATTGTGTATGAGGCCCCAGTCCCAGACCGCCTTGCGGTGTTTCGTCGTCAGGCATATCAATCACGTAGTCAACATCCTGACGAGAGCGAACATAGAGAGGGACGAGATCAGGCTTATATGGCCAACTGGTGCTCTCTCCCTTTGTGTTCTGACCTCTAGTGTGTCGGTCAGGCGCTCTTCGGCAGTGTTGGCGACGACAGACCTGGCCGACGAACGAGGTAGCTGCACGCATACACCAGACTATAAGCTGCCTGCGTGTCAGCGTGTGATCATTTCCTTAAAGGCCTCACCAGAGACGGCGGACCCTCCCGGTGGTCACGACCCTCAGGCTTGTGGATCTTGGTCGGTGGCCCTCTCTGGTTGGTCAGTCTCTCCACAAACGGCTCCATCTGATTGACAACAGGAACAGCTCAGATAAGCTGCTCGTTTGTCGAGAGGTGAATGGACCCTTTTAGCTTACGCTCGTGGTGTTTCGCTGAGAAGGCGACTGCTGGTCCAGCGGCCCATCGCCGTCATCAGCAGCCGATTCGTCGTCTGCTTGGCCCTGCTGGGGCGGATATCCTTCCGAGGCAAAGGAGGCAGGTGGGACGCTGCTAGCGGCCGAAGCGACAGCTGCAGCTGCAGCATGTGTATCTGGCTCCGGCTGGCCAGTGAGGGGAATGGGGAGGGGAAGGAGAGGGCCCGCAGCGGCTGACGGGCCGCCGAACGTGTCAATCAGCTGGCGGCCAGGCAATATCATACCCTTCTCTCACACTCGTGCCATCGGCGTCGTCAGGGACGGCAGCAGACGACATATGTGGCTGTGGCTGGTGAGTGAGGGTAAGGGCAAGGGGGAGATGATGGGGGTGAGGCGGACTTATTTCGGGCAAGGGTGAAGAGCAGGGAGCGTCTGGTACGCCAGTCTGAGGCACGGCGCCGATCCACTGATTCACAGTCGCTTCAAACTCCTCCTCGCTCTACAGGGTGCACACAACAACACACCATCATCGCTGGGTCTGATGAATGCGTTCATATTCGTCTCTTACGGTCATTCCATCGGTGTTGTCGATGCCAGAAGCAGCAGCAGCAGCAGCTGCTGCTGCTGCGGGGAGCTCAGGGGCTGTGGGACGGTGCTGCCCAGACAATAAGAGAGTGAGAATGTGAGACAATGGCGGATCTCTTGTTGTGCCTGCCTGCCTGTCATCTTTCTGACCTGTTGGAAGCGTTCTCTGAAACCCCTGACCCAGCTATCGCTCGCCGAGAAGCCACTGACGCCCAGCCGCATCTTGATCTCCATCGCTTTTTCTCTGATGTCCTTTGTGGGAACACTCATTGGGTCACGCTGCCCAGCCATCCACTGCCGCATCTCATCCTCGATCGGCTGGTACTTAGGTTGCCTGATGCGCTTCTTGTCTGCATCGGTCACTTGCACACCGACCTCCCTCTGCTTCATTAGCTTGTAGCGCCACTGCCTGAATTGGCCATACTTGATGCCGTTCTCCTTGGCGAACTGGGCCATGCTGATCCGCTCGCCGGACTGCTTCCGCCTCTCAAACTCCTCCACCAGCCGCAGCCGCTCGCCGATAGTGGTCTCCGGCGCCCTCTCAGTGGACACCTTCATGACACAGAAACAAAGAGAGGCTATGTGACGGGCAGTGCGTGAATGGAGTGGTGGGAGGAATCAGAGTCATACGTTAGGGGCATCTCCCGCAGTGGGCGCCAGCTGGGGAATTTGGTACGGCGGGAAGCCATAGTGAGTGTGAGGATACTGCGCAGACACAGAAGAGGACAATCACATCAACGAGTGTGCCTTTCTCGTTCGTTCTCTCACCTGAGGTGTCTGCTGATGCATGGAGGGGTCGGCGATGGGGTGGCTGGCACGGTCGTCGTCTCCAAAGAGCCATTGCAGGCCGTCGAGTGGGTCGTCTGGTGGGCTGACATGTGCCAATGGCTGACTCCCACCAAAGCACTCAGCGTCCCCTACAGCCACCATGCAATCGACGGTTGCATCTTCGCCTGCACGGCAATCGGAGCGTCTTGCGTGTCCGCTCACTTGATGCGTATCCGTCGGCTGCAGGGTCACTTCCTGATTGCGGCTCTCTGGGATGCGACTGAGTCCCCCATCCACCAGCGGCACTCCCAGACACATAGCCGGGTGGCTGCAGCCAACACACACACACGGAGAAAGAGAGAGAGAGGTCAAGTGATGCGATCCAAGGACTGCCGAGTATGCCCACCTGATAAGAGCCGTAGTAAGGAGCTGCAGCTGCGGCAGCGCAACCACCATCTGCCACCTGTGAGAAAAGGGTAAGGAACAGAGTCACATCAGCACCACTGACTCCATCGCTGCATACACCTGTGTGTGAGTGTCATCACAATTATGCTCCTCGGCCAATTCGGTGGCTCCCGCAGCCTGGAAAAAAGCACAAACAGGCACATCAGCCAGCAGCCAAAGATCTGTGTGTGTGTCGGCAAAGGACGTCACCTGTGGGTGAGATCTGAACGAGTCGTCCATCAGAAGGCCTCCTTTGGGCAGATCTCCGGAAAAGGACCTCAGATGAGGACGCCTTGGTTGGTTGGTTATTGTATTTCGAGACTCGTGTCTGTAACCCCGAGGGGATCCTGTCCAGGTCACGCACTAAACTAGCAGCATGCACATGCATAGAAGCATGCACACGGCCTGTCTCCCCATCCCACCCACCCACCCAGTCGACACGCACGTGCCACCCTATGATGGTCAGAAAAATCGCTGTCGACACCGGTTGCCTTGTGCTCGGGGAATAGCGAAGGGAAGACCAGTTGCTCTAACTCAGATAAGCTCGCAGACCTTTGAGCTCGCACCAAATGGCCGTCGCAGGCATGTCCTCTCTGTCTGCTGGTGTGCTGTGCTGTGTGTGTGTGCAGATCTCTTCGTCAAGGGCAAGATCTCGGCGGTGACTGTCACTGTGACTCATTCGGTGTCGTTATGGGGACGTCGTGGAGATATGCTCCTTTCTGGCGTCGTTATGGGAGGGCCGGCTTGGTATACTGCTCACGGTATTCCTACAGCTCGTCAGGCTCTGCTGTTCCGCCGTTGTCAGCGCACCGCCATGAACGGTGAGGTATCCACGTTCACTTTCGCACGCCCCTCCCACACACACTGGCTGAGATCTGCCACTTGTGTTGATTTGCAGCCGGTCTGACTCCTGGGTGGCGAGCGTTCCTTCTACGTGGCCTTCATGACCACTGGGACGATGTCGAGCTCGATCGCCAGCGCTCTCAGTCGCTGGCGGACCCGACGGACGTGACAGCGCCACCGAAGCATCGCCAGGTGTGGCTCACCGCGGCGAGTGCCGAGCGCATCACGGGTCAGCAGGGGTGGCAGCTGGCGCTCCTTCCGGCGGCCATCGACCAGGACGCCCGGGACCGGCCCCTCCGCCACCTGTTCCGGCTGCAGGCCTTCCGCAAACCGGATATGAACCTGACCGAGCAGTCGGCTCATCAGGACGGCCAGTGCTGCGTCCTCGTGTACTGGGGAGGGGAGCTGGTGGATGAGGTGCGTTACGTGCCGGTCGACAAGGGTTCGGATGAGAAGCTGTGTGCGACGTGTGTGGTGCCGTGTGCTGATGGCACCGGCGGCATCTGCGGCAAGCAGAACACCTTCCGCAACGTCGTCAACTCGCACCTGCGCAAGACACACAAACTGACCAACGAGGATGCGCAGGTATGTGTGTGAGGACATGTCTTCTGCGCATGGACGGCCTCGTGTATGCTGTGTTGTCCTGCGTGGTGTCTGCAGCGGCTTCTTGCCTCTCTTGGGCTATCGGCGCCGATGACTGTCACCAACACACGTACGATGCGACGCGGTGCGGGGGATGGACTGAATGTGCTGTCTGTCCATCCACCGTGTCTGTCTTTCTGCAGATGTGTACCACCACCATGGGTCGCTGCAAGGTCAGGGAGCAGCCGACGAATATGCAGCAGGTGAGTGGGCAGAGATGCCTGCATGGGCAAGGGTGTAATGGTCGACTGTGTGCCTGCTATAGGTGACGCTGGGTGGTCCGGTGTGAGTCATCCACCAATGGCTGCGGGCCAGCCGATTATATTTGCCGGCTCGGTGATCTATCAGTCCAGCCACGTCCCCGCTGCTGAGACACCGACCACCGACGACGAGAGCGCACCGTGAGTCAGCACATACAACAGCGTGCACATGGCATATGGCAGTTTGTGTATGTGTGTATGCAGGCCACCACTGGGTCTTCTGCGGGTCGACGACATGGATATGGCGCCTTCCAACAGTGACCTCAACGGAGGCATCGCTCCCTCCTATTTGCAAGGCCATGAGACGCTCCTCGGCCATGAAGTTGGGGGTTTGATGCAACAGGTGGGACATGACGGACGACACATTCGTGACAGACACGGCGCTGACAACGTCCGTGTGTCTGTTTTCTGTCTGTCGGGATGGAGACTTTGAGGATCACAGCAAGTGGCCTGCCGATGAATGGGCCGACAGCCTGATTGGCACCCTGCTGGATCCTGATGGTGCTCTCATGCACCAGTACTGAGTGCAACTTGCGTGCGTGTGTGGTGAGTGGATGTACGTGTGTACGTGTGTGTGTGTGTGTGCATGGATGGATGGATGGATTGACTGGATGCATGGCGACTCATTGAATGTATGGGCTGGACTGATTGGCACGCGCACGAAGACAGTCAAATCATCTCCTTCCATACACCATCGGCACGGAAGCGATTGCATGTCCCCCTTCCCTCCAGCCAAACACTACAGACAGACATACAAAAAATGCACACGAAGAATGGGTAGTACCAAAAACACTGTCAGTGTAAGATGTCATCACAGCCAAAATGGCCACATATGCATATCAACATGAGGGAAAAATACAACCATAAATGCCCCACGCACACCTCACACCATCTCTCTCTCCTGTAAGCAAGGCTTTTTCTCTCTCTCTCCTCCGCTTCTCCGCTTCTCTGCTTTTTCGATCGCTGCTGCCGACGAACGACATGTTGTAATGCTTCACAAGTGCACACATACACGCGCACAAAAGAAGAAGGCTTGCTCGCGGCTGAATTGGCTGTCGTGTTGTTGTCTGCATCGATTGATTAGGCCCTGGCTGCATTGCATTGCATAGATACTATTGGTATAATGCTTGTGCTGTCTGTCGTGTCAGTGCCGCTGCGAAGTAGCAGCAAAAAGAGGTGTTTGCCGTGGTGTGACGTGGTATGCGGTGTGTATATGTATATCTATCGTATCAATGCTTCCCACAATCCATCTGCAAGGCCTTGAGGACATTCACACGCACGCATTCACACATGTTGGTCAACACAGGGTGCAGCAGGCCACAACAGGACGACAGAAAAATAGTGGCATCTACACAGGTCAAATGTCCATACGACAAATAGCTACATCGAAGTCCATTCCCCTCCACCAAGCCGGCAAATACATGAAAAGCAAAAATAACCGTGCTGCTGGTGAAGGGGGGGAAGAATACCTATACACACCCTTGGCATTTTACTCATATACATACATACAATCCCTCACACCCACCCCTTTCCTCTCTCAGATTAATCAAACATCGATCGTCACTGTCTTCGTCATCATCTCAGTCCTCGTTCATACTACTGTCATCATCACTCTCGCTCTCGCTCTCGCTCTCGTCCTCTTCAATCTCAGGCACGGCAAAGCGGTCCGCCATCGAGACGAACTCACCCGCCTCATCGACAAAGCCCAGCCCGTCCCACTCGAAGTCACAATCCCCATCGCCGAGGTGCTGAAAGCCCTTGACCACGCCCCTCGGGTCGTGCTCCGTCGCTTCGTCAAGCCGTGCCCTGTGGACCACCTCTCGAAGACCCAGCAGCCGATGCTGCCCACCCTCCTCTCCCCGTATTGCGAAGCACTGCAGTGGTGGGGCATGGACCGTCTGGCCTTGCTCCTCGTGCCTCCCACCGACCACCTCTGTGTTGCCGCTGGCGTGAAAGACAGCAGAGGCGACGAAGTGGTCCATTGCCGTGTGGATGCGATGGCCGAGTTTGCTGTGGGACCGCAATTGGATCGCGTTGACGGTCTCATGGGCGGCGGCGGTATCGAAGCACAATGCCGCAATGTGCCAGGCGATCGCCGCTGCCTCTTGTGGGCCGAAATGGAGGAGGGAGGGGACGGGATCATCAGGGGGGCCGTCATTGTGAGGCGCGAGGGGCAGCAGATCGGTGAGCAGAGCGGCCAGCTCACGTTGGGGCCTCAAGGCAGCATTGACCGTGTTCATGAGCTCATGACGGATACGGTTGAGGACGCGCACATACTCACGCTTGATCACCTGGCGCTCACGGTTAGCTCCGCTGAGTGCTGGATCGCCTTTCCTGGTGGTAGCGATGGGGGCAGCTGGTAGAGGAACGCCGGCACGCAACAGCAGTCGGATCCTCTCCTTGGCCGCCTCTGCCCTCCTCTTGTAGCATTTCTCGAATTCCTTGCATTCAATGCTCGATCGCACTTGACGAGCAAGCTCTTGAGCACACTCAGCCTCACCACTGAAATAGCGCATCAGCTCAGGGCCTCTCCTCACGAGGACACTCGCCGGCAGACGCTTGCACAGGAACTCCAGTAACCAGGGCTCATGGGCGCCTTCTGCCTGGTCGATCGGCCTCAGTCCATTACCCTCTTTGCTGTTGATTGGGGAGCCGAACTCATACAAGAGCTCACAGAAACCAACTGAAAAGTCAACCACACGTTCAATCAGTAACAGTGCTACGTGTATGTGTCATTCGCCGGCTCACTTGTGAAGTTCCTGGTGAACGACGCATGCTCAGCCACTGAGTGAATGGGCAGCTCTTTGTCACAAAGCTCCTCGGTCGCCAGACTGCTGTCGTGCTCCAGTAGCCGGCGGATGCAGGGGAGAAGAACGTCGAAGTACTGCTCGTAGACGTCCTCTGGCGGGCAAGGCTTCTGATCCTTCCCATCTATATCCCAATCATCACCGAAGAAGAGGATGGCGGGGGGAACAGAGGGAGGCTTCCCTCTACTGCCGCCCTTCTGTTCGAACGAGAGACGAACGACACAGGTGCATGGGTGGAGTTGGCATCTGTGTTTTGGTGTGTTCACCGATCGTTTGCCGCTCTTCTTGCTAGGAATGCGGGACTGGCTGAGAAGGGTGTCGAGGGCAGGGAGGTTCGCTTTGTGGAAGGCCGCCTTAATCAACTCGTCGCCTCCACGTGCTCCCCCGGCAAGCAAGGCTTGGAGGACCTCCCTTTGTTGCTCGGGAGATGGCCACAGGGGCAGAATAAGTGGAAGTCCAACCTTTTCCATCCTCCTTGTATGTCCCCAGTTGAGGCCAGGACATCCACCTAAAGGCAGACAACGAGGCAACCAACACAAGGTACGTGACACATGTGATGTAACTGCCTTGTTGGCTTGCCTGTCGGGTCGTCAATTGCCAACTGAAGCACACCCAACTCCTCCCATGTGGAACGAGGCCATCTGTCCCACCAAGGGCGGTGGTTGGGCCGCTTCATGCCGCTGAGCCTCACTGTCAGCTTCGCATCCGCCCCCTTCTCGATGAGCCTCGACACGCCACGCCCCGTGATGTTGCGCCGCAGAATCCGACAAACCAATCGCTCGCTGGCCTCATTCGTGTCGGCGGGGAAGCTGATGCCCACCGAGCGGTCGTTGAGTACCACTTGACGCTCGTCATCAACAGCACCAGCCTCTGATGAGTTGCTGCTTGGCGCGCCCGCATCCCCTTCCAAAAAGTTCTCGACAGAAAGACGGTACCGAAGCCTCTTCCGTTTGCCTTCTTCGTCGGGCGGGAAGTCAGCGATACGCTTGCGAGGGGGAGGTCGCTCGTGCGGGGGAGGCGCTGGCACGTCCCGGCCGCTCCTCGTGTGCACCATGACGGATCCAACAGATGCGATGAATCAGAGAGAGCGATGGATCAGTCTCTGCCGAATAGGGAAGCGACGCAGAGACGCACAACACTGACCACAGCACATCCCACACTGCGAGCTCAGCTCGCGATCTTGAGCAGGAAGATCTCCACCAAATGTGTCCATCGTGTGGCCATTTCCAGGCTCTGCATATGGATGCTGAGAGATCATGACCACCTTTTCTCGGCTGCGGGCAGCCGACGTGCTGCTCTTATCGCAGGTCATTCGGGGCACCGACGCCTTTGCCCATCCCCTGGCACGCCGCATCGGCCGCAGCTTCCTTCCACACGCGTGGAAATATGGCCCCGCCATCAGTGATGATGACATCATTGCCAAGAGAGATGCAGAGATCTATGCCGACGTCAGCTCACAAGTGCGGCAGTGCTTCGGATGGCTCATGGCCTACCTGCTGCCAGAACTGAGTGTGGACGACTTCCCCCACTACACAAAGCCCCCGGTGCTGTCTGTCCGATTGTCACCTCTGCAGGGGCTGGGCGTGTTCGCGGCCAGCCACATCAGGAAAGGCACCGTGGCTTGCCTCTACCCGGGCTATGTGTGGCCGTCGACCTCCAAGTCGCTGCCTGCGAGTGACTTTGCGGTGACCAACGTGCATTCACGCGAGAGGGCGGTGATCGACGGGGAGGGGTGGCTTTACGAGGGCATGGGTGACGTCATGGCCGAGTGGGGGGTGGATCTGGCGGCGTTCTCTCCAGGCCAGTTCAAGGGCATCGGGCGGCTGTCGGACGAGGCCGTCAAGCTGCAGATGTCCCGGTGCAAAGCCAAAGACGCGCGGGGAAAAGCGGTAGCACACACATTCACAGAGAGAGAGAGACGATGGACACTCGCATCCGTGAGCTGTGTTGTTTGCAGAGGGTGGTCAGCGTGATCCATCGCAACCCGCTGGCTTTGGGCAACTTCATCAACCATCCGCCTAAGGGCGCCATGCCCAACGTGGCGCCCTTCGCCTTTGACTACCCCTATCTGCCCGACTTCGCCGACATCGACCAGGCCCTCAAGAGTCTGACCGCCGACCAACCGAGCACCTCTGCTGCTGATGCTGACGTGCTATCAAGCGGATTCGACAAGAGGCTGGCGGCCGTGTATGTGCAGATGCTGCCACATGCACTTGTCAAGTCGGGCTCAGAAACAGACACAGCAGAGGGCAGCCAGCCGTCATCGGCCGAGCAGCATTCCGCCCGCATAAAGCGGTCGTCGACTCGTCAGCTGCATGACGAGAAGTACCATGGCGAGAGTGTGGGGAGGTTTGTGTGGTCGCCGGGCTATGACGACACGCCGCCGCCGTTTCCTTTTGATGGGATGGCCTTTGTGGCGCTGAGGGACATAACTGAGAATGAGGAACTGATGTTCAACTACAGGTGCATCCGCTCGCTCACACACACACACGCATGCACACCCACGCGTATCTATGTATGTGTCTGTGTACCCATGAGCGGGGTGTGTGTGTGTATAGGTACAGCATGGCCGAGCAGTCGCTGTGGATCGGTTGGCTCTCCGAGAACTCCCCCTTTCTTGACTCCATCTACCCCAAGTGGTACTCCAAGGTCGACGAGAGACGGTTCTTCCTCGCCCACACACGGCCCTCAACCCAGACAGACAGGTAGATGACATCATATGCATGTGGGTACGTGGGGTGGGGTGCGTTGTCGCGTGTGTTGGTGGACTGACTCTCTGACTTAAGGAGGGGAGGGGCTCCATTGGAGGGGCTGTTGTCGCACCCCTCACGCGTGTGTGTGTGTGCGTGTTTGGGCGTTTGGGCGTGGCCGGTAGTAGGTGAGTGACAGTGCAGACAGATCCCTGATGTGTTCGCAGAGGAACGGTATGAGCACCATCCACCGCAAGTCCACTGCAGTGGGCTGTCTGCCCGGCTAAGTGTACTGATTGCAATGCGGCGGTGGTCGGGCCGCTGACAGCGAAACCATCATGGCAGCGAAAAGGCCTCCTCTCAGAAGAAAGACGCCCCCACAGGCCCCCATGTTCATCCCACGATCGGAGCCCGCAAGGAGTTGCCAGCCTGCGGACTTTTCTGGTCTGCGTATCGCTCTCTTTGACTCTCAGGGAGGCCGACTGATTGGTTGATCTATGAAGTGTCTGCCCTGCATCTGTGGAGCCGCCCAAGCGATGACAGACAAGCTGGACTCCTCCTGCCTCCCCGAGGGATACCAGTGTGTGCTCTACGACGGTATGTCTGACACTCTTGCCGCACACACGACAGACAATCATTATGTCAGACGTGCCGGTGTGTGTGTATGCCTGCAGACTTCCAGAGCGACGGGGTTGACAGGGACAAGTGGGACTTCCGGCTGGACACATCAAAGGTCGCCAGTAGTGAGTAGTGAGTATCGCATGCGCAGATCTAGGCAGGCACGTGTGTGCACAGGCAAGCCGATACGCCCTTGTGTGTGTGTGTGTGTGTGTGCGCGCGTGTGACCTTGCAGGTATGTCACTGTGATGCCGAGTGCGTGGGTGTGGCGAAGGGCGCGTGCCTCAAGATCAGTCTGCTCGACATGAAGGACCTCGCAGCACGCAGACGGCTCACCACCACCGACATCAACACAGAGCAGCCCGAGGCATGCGATGAGAGTCCTGTGGGTGGCAACTGCCCGTTCGCCGGGGGCGGCATCGTCACCAAACAAGCGTTCAAGGTACGCGCAATGCAACACACACACACACACACACACACACACACGGGAGGAGTCAGTCGGTCAACCAATACGCTCTCTCTCTCTCTCTCTCTCCCTGCGTGTGGTCAGCATGGCTACTTTGAGATGCGCGCGCGTATGTGGTGTGAGAAGGGGTGGCACCAGGCCTTCTGGCTGACCACCTCACACGACCTCAGAGCCCCGGCCAGCGGCCCGCGGCAGGAGATCGACATAGTGGAGACCCGCAGCGGACACAAAAGCATGACCTGGAACCTGCACAGGCAATGATCTGCACACACACACGCACATGTAGTTCTGCCGCTGTGTGTGTGTTAGGTGGATGCCCCGTCCGCACGAGAAGATCATCGGCAAGTGCATCCACCCCACACCCGACCTCAGCAAGGACTTCCACACGTGGGGACTCCTCTGGACAGACAGTGAGCTGGTGTGGGACCGAAGCGGCACATACACACATAGACAGACAGGCAGACCGACAGAGGCATGCCCCACACAGACACAGAGAGAGAGGCGCAGGCCCCACACAACACATGTGTCTTCAGTGTGATGTCACCCCCGTGTTGACGTAGGTGTGGTATTTCGACGGCCAAGAGACGGGTCGCGTGGATCTTACCGCCGTCCCCATCGCCGCGGCCGACTGGACGCCCCAGTACGTGTGGGTGACGGCCATCTCCCTCGAGACGACCTACAAGGACATCGACACCAAGAAACTGCCCGGATGCATGGAAGTCGCATACGTCAAGATCTACCAGAAACAGACATAGAGAGGGGAACTCTTTTCTTGCTGCCAGGGGATGTTTGTTTAGTGGGTGAGTGGGAGGGAAGAAGACTGTTTAGCGCTCGGTGTGCCTGATGGATGACTGCTCTTTTCTTAGCCCAATTGCTGCCTGCCTGAGAGACGGTGACCAAATCAGATGGCGTTCATCCACCTCTGGTGAGCATTTTGTCGACAGACAGAAATGCTCGTCAAGGGTGGCGGATGGCCATGACATGTGAGCCATTCTCGCATACGGCATGCGAAATTTGAGTAGTGGCGTGTGTCTGCTGCCAAATGAGTAGTTAAGACAAGACATCTGGAAAGAACTGAATGAATCGATATATCATCCACTGTGTCTCTGTCCACGTACGTTGGCACATGGATCGATGACAGATGTCTCAAACGGCCCATGGTAAATCAACGACAATCGAGCAAATTCCCTCCCCTGTCAGAGTATCCGTTCACTCAACTTCCCCTCCTTCCTTTGCCCAACACACACTCGTGCGCCAAGATGCGCACACTGCGCATGCAAAATGTTCCCACGGCCCTCCCTCACGCATCATATGCTATTCCCACGCTGCACACATGGATGGCCATCCATGCAGCAGCAGCAATCTACAAACACACCCACCCACAGACACAGAGACACGAGTGCATTCCCCTGCTCGTGTGCATCATGTCTCTCTCTCTCCGATAGCTCCTCCCCGCCGTCTCATACCTGCGCCAATCAAAAGACGACCACCACCGCAATGATGTTGTCCCGGCTGCCCTTCGACAACGCCGCGTACACTAAGTTCTTGGCCGCCATCTCCGGCCCACTCGCCCCCTCTCCGTCCATCATGCTCCCCAAAGCCGCCCCCGCGATCTCCGCCGCCTCACTGTCGTCCAACACGTCCCACAACCCGTCACTCGCCGCGATGAGGAACCGATCCCGATTCGCCGTGACGTCTCTCTTCACCACGTGGGGGAACGCCGTCAGGCCTTCCGACTTGAGGGAGTGGTCGCCGAGTGCGCGAGACACGGCCAGCTGCCCGCCCACACGATTCCGGAGGATGATGCCGCCGGCGCGTGTGACCCTCTCGGCCTCGTGTGCGTCCGTGGCTTTGTGCTCTTGGGTGAGACGGAGGGTGGAGTTGTCCGCACGGACCAGGACACCCCGCGAATCCCCCACATTGGCGCAGTAGAGCATCTGCTTGTTGCTGTGGCCCTCCCTCCGCACCACAAACACGGTCGCTGTCGTGCCGGCGTTCCAGCTGCCGTTCAGCCGCAGCTGGTCGTCGATCTTGAGGAATGTCTTCTCCAGCGAAGTCTTGACGTCGAAATCCGACCGAACCAGCTCGTGGACCAGCACATCATGCAGCTTCCGGATCACGTAATCCAGCGCCTGTCTCCCGCCATGCCCGTCGTACACCGCGAAAAACGCTGTTGTCCGCTCGTTCGCGAAGTTGTCGACGCACACACACGCGTCCTCCATCTGGTTGCGGAATCTCGGGTTCGTCTCCTCGCAGTGCAAAAACCACCGAACCGCCGACATGGCTCGTGCCGCGCCGCTGAGTGCGTTGGCCGAGGGGATGCCGGGTGGAGGCATCCCCAGTGCGCGTGTCAACGTGCCGGCCAGGCCTCTGCTCGCAGCTGCGGTGGGTGTGGACCTCACCGAGCCGGGCGAGGGGCTCTCTCTCCCCAGGCCGAAATCCATCTGCCGACCGACAGGCGAATATGACGGCGGGGGTGTGTGGGCGGCGTCGTGCATGCGGCCGCCTTTCAGTCCCTCGATCGTCGCAGGAAAGGAGCTGCGCTCGACGGAAGGCGGGCTGGGCGATTGTCCTGCTCGCTGATACCCTCGTAGAGTGGGAGAGTCGCCACCGAAACGCTGCGGCGGTGGCTGCTGGCCGTAGGCGGCAAATGGCGACCTCCCAGTGGCATTTGAGTGGCCACTGGATGAGGGAGGAGCCTTGTGTCCGGGCGGAGAGCTGCCTCCCGACCTGACGGGCCGTCTCGCGCCGTGTTGGTCGTGGAGGGCGTGAGACGGCGATGATCTGTGGTGGGGGAGGGCGGAGATGGGCGGGGGTGTGCGTGACGATGGAGTGCTGGACGATGGAGCGGCGAGGGATGGGCTGATGGGGCTGGCGAGCGACTCGCGCGCCGCGGCCGAGAATGGAGAAGGGCGATGCATATCAGCGGAATGAATGAAGAGAGACCGGAAGCGAGAGCGATGTCAGTCAGAGAGCCCCAATCAATCGATGAGAGAGCCTCAATTCAGCCTAGCGCCTGCAAGCAAGACAAAGCATTCATGGAGAAGCAAACAAAACCCATAGTGATTGTGCTTCAGCCCTCTTTCCTTCATTGCCTCACCTGCCGATGGCCATTTCAACGCACTCGCCGTGGAACAATCGTGCACAGCTCCAATCGCTTTTGTTGGAGTCATCGTTCATCGTACAACTGTCCCTCCGTTCGTTTCTTTCTGGCACTTCTTCTCGACCCAGCTCGCAAATACTTGCGAGCTGAAGGGAGGAAAAGGCTCGGCTTCACAGTGATGAATGCGCCCGTCGGAGCACTCTTCATCACGTCTGATTGCGACTGACTTCGTTTCGCATCTCGTCGTGACTGCGTGAGGCCTTCCTGACTCGTGAACTGGCTCGTGACTCTCGCGGCTCCTCTATCGGTCCCTGTATCGCTGTCCGCGGCGCACAGCCTCTTATTGTGACGAAGAACGAGGCGTCATCAGTTGAATCAGCTCTCTCATCGCAGCAAGGCGGCCTGGCAGCCAACACCAGACACCGAATGCCACGACAAATGCCGGCGCTCATCCCTTGTTCCATTCCTAGCAGTCGGTGATGATGCAGACCAGCAGCAGTGAACCGTCTGCAGCAGCAGCGACCCGGTGCGTCCATCGCCTTCACAGTGTGCAGCACATGGACTGGCATGGCGAGATGATGGTGAGACGACCGCAGGGAGGGGGTGGAGGGGGGAACAGCGTCATAGCTATCGTACCACTGGCTAATCCCATCGTCGAATTGTACCAGGTCTGTCTGCATTTGACGCACCCATCATCCACCATCGTGTGTCTGTGTCTGTCTGTCATTCATGTGCTTATGGGTGTGCTGACTGCAGCCATCGAGCAGTGACGGTGGTGGTGGGTGGGCTCGTGTGGACTCTCCGCAGGCGGACCGACCGGCCGGCGCGTGGCTACGGTTCTCCGCGAATATCAACTACGCTCCCCTCCACTGCACGCAATTCACTCTCAAGGTACATACACCACACCACCGCAATGCTCGCCCAGCATATCACATAACAATGCCTCCATTGTGCATTGCAGGCCCGTCACCGCGACAGCCGGTCGCCCACGACCGACATTGAGAAGGTCCGATGGTCCGTGGTGTTTCAGTCGCGCGAGTCGCACAGCTTCATCCCGTCCAACGACACACCCGCAAAGAAGTGGCAGGCCTTCGGACCGGGCGGTGACCATGTGATGGTCGGGCTGGCGGACGGGAGCGTGTATGCGCTGGCGATGGTGGTGGTCGATAATGGCAGAACTGACGGTAAGTGGGGAACAAAGAAAACAAACAAACGAGGAAGAAAGGGAGAGTGTGTCTGTTCCTTCCTGTGTGTCTGTGTGCGGTCCAGGGTTGTTTTGCGCGGCCGGCATGTTTTCCCGTTCGTGTGTGTCCCTCACCCCTCCACCCCGGCTGCCCGCGCCTCTCTGTACCTCACACTCACACCCTCAGCACAGCGAGCGGCGGTTGACCAACGAGACGGCAGCGCGCCACCGGCCATCGACGCCATGCAGTGGGGGCGGGGCGACGTGGCGACCACTCGAGGCCAAATCGGCGTCGTATGACCTCGGCATGAAGGAGAAGGGCAGCGGCGCCCCGCAGGCGTCCATGCCGCCGTCTCTGCCCATCACGCCTGCTCGTGAGCGTGCCGTGGCGCCCTCACAGGGCTCCACGGATTCCACCCCGGCGAGATCGATGTGTTGGCGGACTGACCGAGAGAGGGACCCACACGCCGCACACACAGCCCCCCACCCCCACCCCTGTCAAGGCAAGAGAGTGCAGCGGGGCGCTCATAACGACCCCAAGCACCACCGGCACAGCCTCTCGGCCACCACGACGTCGACCAGCGCTTCCACGCCCACCAGTGGGGAGATGTCGCCTGACGCGCAGATGTCTACGAAGGAGGCCGGGGGACGCAATGGCAAGACCAGCACGAACACGACGGTGGTGCCACCGACCGCATCTGAGGGCAGGGGTGGTGGTGGTGGTGACACGGGCACCAGTGAACAGCAGCAGCAGCCGGCACACGGCCAGGCGCAAGACGACTGCTCCCCTGCATCAGCAGCATCGCCGGCGTCGGCTCCCGCGATGCAACACGGCAATGGCGACGGCAGCCCTTGCCCGTCCCCCTTTCCCTCAGCCAGACATCCTCATGACTACTATGCCTATGGCCATGGAGACTATCCCAATCGCAATGGGCCACGCCGCCCGCACACCCACCAACGCGTCCAGTATCCGTCGAGGGGCGGCAGACGGGGGAGTGGGCGGGGTGGGCGCGGCTACTATGAGAGTCGGGGCTTCGATCGCGAGCATCATCACCGCGACCATCAGCATCAGCACCATCACCATCACACCATGAGCGAGCACCGCCATCGACAGCAGCAGGAGAGGGGCCCGCAGGTGGCTCTCGAAACGCTTGATACGGCAGTTGTGATGGATCCGCACACAGCCCACCCCCGCCCCTTCTTCCCCTCCCTCAATCACATTGACGAGACCGCCCAGCGGCAGCAGAGAGAGATGGAGGCGCTGGGGCTGCTTGCCCACGCCAATGGCGCTCACGAGCTGTCTCTGGGCCTCATCGGCCGGGGAGGCATCCTGCCGCTTCCACACGGCGGCGTTGGTGAGATGCCGGCTGCTGCGGCGGCGGCGTCGGCTGCTGCTGGACGAGGCGCGACCCTGTTGCCGATGTCTCCTTCCCCCTCTCCCTCCCCCCCTCTCGGAGCACATCATGACAACGGAGGACTGAGTTTCTTCGGCACTGCGGCCTACGGACAGCACATGCTGGGGTACCAGCAACTGGTCGCCAGCCTCTCACAGGCGGCGCACCCACAGCGGCAGCACGCACAGCCCCCGCCCCCCGGACCCACTCTGGCATCTCCCCAGCAGCAGCAGTCGGCGCAGGCCCTCACTGTGTACCCCAAGACACAAGGGCAGACACACGAGCCGCTTTCCCATGGCTATCCGAGCCTATTGGGCAGCCCTGCCACCGACTCGCCCAGCAGCCAGTCACCGTCGCCCTCTCTGTCATCGTCTCGCCCCCATGTGCCATTCGGCCAGCCGCCCCCGCCCCCCGAGCCAGCCACCACCACCACCACCAGCCCCTCTCAGCACCACCATCAACAGCAGCAGGGCAACATCGTGATTATGCGGTGCCCTGAGCAGGCTTCGCCACGGGCATGGAAGACCCACCAGGGCGGGGGCGTCCAGCCACACGCGGCTGCTGTCAGTGGGCGTCGCGCAGTGCCTCGCATCGCTCTGTCTGCAGCAACTGGTGCTGATGCCATTGACGCGTGCTTCACGTCTCGCAGCCAGCAGCTGCCGCCCTCGTCGCTCTCGCCGTCTTTCTCTCAGCACCATCTGCTGGTGACCACTCCCCGACACGGCCACAGCCCTGACAACGACTCAATCCGCTCAATGCCACCCCGGGCCAACAACGGCAGACGCCCACACCACCACCAGCACCACCACCACCACTCGCACCACCACAGTCACCACAGGCGGCCCTGCGTGGTGCCCAAGTACACGCAGACGCCTTGGGACGACAGTGGGTGCGAGAGGGAGAGGGAGGGATGCGAGGAGCGGACGCCGACCTTCAACATGATGGCCTTCTTCGTCCGCACCACCCCCCACGCAATGGTGCAGCCAGAGGCCAGAGACAACGTCGTCAATGCGCGTGACGTGCGCTTCACCTACTCGATGCGCGACCTCTGGAAGAGCTATGAAGAGGCCAGCACATACGGCGTGTCGGTGCCCTTCTGCGACTACGACGGGCGGCTGTGCGAGGCGGCGTACGTGCCGTACCTGAGCGCCATTCAGCTGTTCCCCCGCTCATCGGATGTGTCCTCCCCTGCCTCTGTTTTCACCTTTGTCGAGACGGCCCCGCCGCACAACCGACGGCCTCTGTGGGCGCAGATACGGCACCTGACGGAGGCACCTGCTGAGGGTGGGCAACAGGGGGGAGGGGGCGATGGTGGCAGTGGGGCTCGGCTGGAGGCCACACCACTGGGCCGCTCGCTGCTCATTGGAGACTCCGGCCAAGTCCACGAGCGATCATGGTGCGCACAGACAGCCACACACACACACGAGCGAGAAGAGGCGACTGCCCGTGTCCATGCGTCCGTCAGGTTCTCTGTCCTGTGGCACCCCATTGAGCGTCTGTTCCCGTCGACGGCCGCCGCCTCGTTCCTTCTCTACTACACGTTCGTGCCGGAGGTGCCGTCGGCCGATCAGACGACCACCGGCCTCCCGCAGCTGCAGCGATTTGGCGTGATCCCCTTCAAGGCCGACTTCAGGCTGTGGGGACTCGGTGAGCCATCGATGGTGTGATGGCTAGGTGCTAGGTGGGCGAGAGATGGCCGTGTGTGCTGTGTGTGGTGTGATCAGATGCGGACGGCAACACGAGCGGCACCGTCGAGCACTACCGAAAGATGAAGGTACACCAGGACCTGCCTGTGTGTCTCATCGACAATGGCCGTCTGTCTGTCTGGCAGGAGAAGCTGGGTCAGTTTCTGAGTGACTTCAAGTGTTGCCATCATGACTTCGAGTTCGTCGCCAAGCGGCTCAATGTGACCTAAGCTCATCGGCCGATCGGTGGATGGATGGATGGAGGGCACACACAAAGAGGAGAGGGATGGGCACACAGACAGCGGATGTGCGGATGGGCAAGTCGATCGCTCAGAAAGACAGACATCATTCGTACAGCTGACGGACAGATCGATGAGTGAATGGCTGGATCGCTCTCTTTCTTTCCCTTTCTGTATTTGTGTGGGGTGGCGGTGGTGGATTTGTTCAGCCATCCACACCTCTCTGTATGTGTGTATATATGTGGGTGGGTGGGTGTGGGTGTGTCGGCTACATTGCATGATTGGCATCCGTGTGCAGTGGTCGACCAATCAGTGATGAGACTGATTCATTCACGTGAATGGCCATCCATGTCTGTGAATGTATCAGACCTCCACACACACACCAGATCAGCAGAAACACGAGTGCAGCCAGGCGCCACGCATCGATCAGTCTGACAATCACTCCATACACAATTCACCTCACTCCCATGTTACGCACATACGTGGAGAGGGCGATACTGTCTCACGTTTCGTCTCATACGTTTCTGAATCGCACACGCCACGCTTCAGTCGTTTCCCTGTCTGTGTCTGACAGTGGCCAGCTGATGAGTTAATTAATGCCCCCCCCCCCC